GAATAGAGACTGGGAATGGCTGAGCCATTACAAACATTGAATCTATCTCCTCATGTAAGTATTCTCACACTTCTTATCAAACTGTCTGTACTGGGCTATCTTGATTATCACACTCTGAAGAAAACTTAAGAAAATCTAGTGTTTAGGCTGATAGCTTAACAAAGCACCGTTTGCATTAAAACCTTATTAGTACTTTTCTTGTGGACTTTCTAGTCTCCATAGTAGGAGCGTTTGCTCGAAAGGAAGTATCCCTGAACACACTAAATCTGCCACCAACTCAAATATTTATTCAGCTTTGCTGAATAGTGCCCTTTGGTCTGGCCACACTGTTTGATAAAAGTACCAGCCACTCTATTTAGATCCATACCAGCTGAGATGATCTCTCAGTTCAGGCTACAGTCAAGTAGGGGATCCTGAGTTCTGTTCATAAACCACAAAACAGACAAATTCTTTTTCCTACAGCATGGTTTCTTAGAGTGATTTCAAAACATAGGCATCAGTCCTCCAGAGAATTCTGTGTGAGCAGACCCCTGCATTCAGGCAGAGCTCCATTAACACTGAGCTCTGAGCAGCATTGATGCCTTAAACGGTCAGCTTCAAGTTTGTCCACAAAGGATGAGTGATGTTTCCCATTGTCTATATTCATACATGTAGATGGTGAGCTCTCTGAGGCAGAGGCTGTCTCTTTGTTATATGTTTGCACAGGGCCTAGCACAAAGGGATCCAGGTCTGTAAGTGCTGTCGTAATACTGGTACAACTCTAATATTAAGAATAATGGTTTCTTGCTAGTGCAACATCTTGGACAGAATTGCACGCGTGAGACATTATGAACTGTAAAAACAACGAGGAGTCCTTGTGGCACCTAAATTTGTTAGTCTCTAAGGTGCCACAAGGACGACTCCATTGTTTTTGCTGATACAGACTAACATGGCTACCACTCTGAAATCTCTCATTATGAACTGTAGAATTGGAGGATGAAGCCAGCAGAAGCAAGTAGTCCCCAAGCAGAATCATTAGCCACGAAATGCATGGTTTGTCAGTGAATAAGTGCTTCCAATCTCTGATACTCAATATTCAGAGTCATTATTTATTTATCTGAATTCCGTTAACACCTCCTACGTACTATGTAACTTCCATGAAGACACAGGAACAAAGTGTTTTCTTACTTTGCGCTGCCACATATAACAAAGCGAGGAAGCCAATCCATTTCTGAAAGGTGGTAGAAAGCAAAGCAGTACCCATAAACTAAACAAAATGACAACGGTAGGCAATAAAATCTGGCATGGGGGCCAGAAATATGCACTTATCAAATGAGATTATTTTATTACTTCACCTGGCTAAAATGAATCTGTTGGGTTTATCAGTGATTTATTTCTACGGAGACCGCAATGTTCAGGTAGAATAGTTAGGCTAACAACAAAATTTGGGCAAGATCTTGGGGAGCAACTGAACTGCAAAAAGGTAAAAGAACATTGCAAATTTCAAATACAGCCATACTTTCACAATGACTTTCATGTTGTCCAGTACATTTTAATTCATGACACAAATGAATCATTATAAATATTGTCTATATGCATTATACTCTGTTACAATATCCTGTTGTCCGTGCAGTCATTGCTGCTGGGAAAAGGTTTGGACTCCATTTGAAAAAATGGTTATATTTTTCCTTTTGTAATTTTTGCGTCATGTACCCCATGAGGATGGTGGGTATCTTTGTGTGTATGTACAGGTATATTATAAAAACGTGGCAGTGATATCCATGTGAAAGCGTGCAGGGGCATATGATAAATTACATTTATCATGCACTCTCCCCTCAACACTCTGCCCACTAATCCATCTCCCCTAGCATTTATTCTACGATTTCACCCCCTGAGCAGCTTCCTGCAGTTTCATTGTCTTGAATACAAATACAACAGCAAAATCAATTCGCCATCAAAATGTTTCTATTTTTCCCCTAAATGTGAGCATTTCTGCTCCAAAACAAAACCAGTTCAAAGCCCAGCACAGGCAATGCTCAGTCCTGGTTACAGCAATAAATGTAATATCTCAATATCTTGTGACCCTTCAGGGCTAGAAATGGGAGTCTAATCCTTTTGGGGAGGGGAGATTCCCAGCATTCCAGTTGCTCCAGTTTTGAAAACTCCCAGTGACTTTAAGGGAGTAAAATGGTACGTGTGGAACAGTTATTTTAGGTCATTTGGTGAGGTATCTTATATATTTGGTTTAACTTTTCTCTCCTGCTGAGCCTTGGATTTCTAGGGTGAAATCCTGGCCCCACAAAGTCAGCAGGACTTTTGCCATTGATTTCAGTGGAGCCAGGATTTTACCCGTGGTAACAAAGGCACCTGGCTGCACAGGCAGAGGGGTGCAAGAAATAGTCCCAATAAATTTATTTTAAAACTCTCCAAACCATGCCCAAAATAGTTTCTGTGCAATTATTATAATTATTTAATTTTTAGATTATAGCAGCACCCAGAGGCCAGGATCAGTTGTGCTAGGCACTATAAAATCTGTGTCATACCCAGAACAGAAAATAGTGTGAGGTGGTAGAAACACTTGAATAATTGCAAAACTTTAAGGGATGAAGTGGCACAAACGGGTATGGGCTCTGATCATACATAATCATAAATACCACGTGTACAAGAGGGTTCTGACAACAAGAGACTTTAATTATAAGTATTGCAGTGTTCTAGTTCGTCTCCCATTAGTATTTTTACCTGAGTTATCTTTTATTAAACACTGTGCCATTTAACAGCCACTCTGGAGGGTGAGAAACTGAGCCTGAGTAAAGTATCAGAATTCGTGTGAAACAGATGTTAGCCTTACATTTAAAAAGGTTTAGTGCTTCTGCTGGTGTTAAGAGAAGGAAGCAGGTGACCCTATTTCCATTCATTATTTATCCATTTTGTGATTCCAAATAAAATCTAAATCTTCAGATTAAGGCTCTCCTCATAACTGTAACGTGCTGTCATCTATTCTCTGGGCAGACACTCATTACAGGGCACTTGAGAAAAGCTTCATCTATAACAACTGCAGCAAATGATAGCTTAAAGCAGTGGTTCTCAACCAGGGGTCCAGGGCTCCCTGGGGGGCCATGAGCAGGTTTCAGGGGGTCTGCCAAAATAAACCAGAGAGCAGGGTCAGCATTAGACTCACTGGGGCCCAGGGTAGAAAGCCGAGTTCCGAGCCCAAGCCCCTTCTCCCCAGGCTGAAGCAGAAGCCTGAGCAATTTAGCTTTGTGGGGCCCCCTGTGGCATAAAGCCCTGGGCAATTGCTCTGCTTGCTACCCCGTAACGCTGGCTCTGGCTCTTAATCTACTGAAAAACAGTGGTTGTGTACATGGTGGGCTGTGTCATTTTTATAGCATGTTGTGGGGGGGGGGGCCTGAAGGAAAAAGGTTGAGACCCCTCTGGCTTAAAGAACAAGAGGGGCTCCATTGTCAGTTCTTTCAGTTTAACTAACTCTCGTTCATTAGACTGCCTCAACACATCCCCATAGTCACACAGACCTGGAACCTAGGGCTGAGATTGTTTCTCTATGGAGAGGCACATGGGTCATACATGCTTAGTTCCTTTTTCACACCTAGAAGTGTCTCTCCAAGTTTTCCCATTGTTTAAAAGTTGTGTAATCTTTTCCCCTCTTCCCAATCACTGGGATCTGGATCTACTCTTCACCCCCTCCTTTCAAACCCATAACTAAGTGTCCCCTATCCTTCATATCTCTCAGATTGGCCTCTCTAGTGCGGATCACTTTGGCCAGAAGAATCTGAGAACTATAAGCCCTTATGTCTAATTCTCTAGTCTTAATTTCTAAGGACAGTATTTCTGGGCTTTCTTCATTATACCCGTCATGCTGATTGAAGCTGAATGATGGGACTTTTAATAAAACTCTGGCAAGATCTCTTCAGCCATTTCGGGGGTTTCAGGGCAGGGGTGCTGGAACAGTTTGTATAGTGGGGGTGCTGAGAACCATTGATCCAAACTGTAAGCCCTGTATATAATGGAAACCACTTTAAATCAGGGGGTGTACCCCCACCACCCCTAGTTCCAGCACCTATGTTTCACGGTGAATCCTCCCTACACACACACACACACACACACACTTTATCCACTTTAAAAAAGAAACTTTAATTGATCCTTTCTATATGGGGCTATGGCAAAAATAGATGTTTGAAACTTGAAACTCACCATGGCTAAACCTCTGATTGAGAAGTAATGCCTCTTCTTGTGCTTAAAAAAATGGTTTTAATTTACCAGAGTTGGTTTGTAATTGTATCCTGAACATGTGCAATAGACAATTTTGTTAAATACATAGATATGTACAATAAATATATATATATATATATATATATATACATTAAAGAGTACCGCTAATTAAGTCTGCACTTTTCAAAACAGACTGACTTTAAAGATCCTCAGCTTGGCCTTGACCAGCATTGGCTTCAGTGGAACTATGCCAATTTACACCAGCTGCAGCTGGTAGCCGTTGGGACGTTAATTCACATGTCTGCTTGTTTAGACTCCTAGGCCAGGTTGGAGGTGGTTTAGTTTGGTAAGGCAATCCTTTACTTTCTTTTTAACTAGAAACACTCCTTAGCCCACCTCTAGAGTGATTGTTGTTTAGTAGTCATCGAAAGCAAGGACTTGTGAATGTAAGTTTATGAAGGAGAATTGGAAGCCAGATAAGTTCAGACTAGAAATAAGGCAGAGATTTTGAATGATGAGGGTAAATAACCATTGTTAGAACTTACGTTGGGTCGAGGTGGATTCACAATCATTGACAATTTTTAAATCAAGATTGGATGTTTTTCTAAAAGGTATGTTACACTTGAAAAAGAAATTAATTAAGGAAAGTCCTGTGGCCGGTGTAATTCAGGAGGTTAGACTATATGATGTCTGTGGTCACTTCTGATCTTGTAATGTATGAATCAATCATTTACAAAGGAGGAGTTATTTTGGACACTTTTCTAATTCTTTAAAATGTTCCCTTCTGTCTTTAGGCACTGTACGGATGTTCTGTGCTGTGTAATCTTCATAGTCGTCATTCTGGGTTACATTGCATTAGGAATTCTGGGTAAGTAAACCCAGCCACGGTAGTGGCTTCTCTTGCAGGGGGAGTAAATAAGTGAGTCATTATTTTTAATTGAAGAGTCCATTTAATTTTAAACTTTCTAATCAATGAGCCATGTGTTTTCTAGGACATTAAATGCCTGTTATAGTCAGGGAGAGGTTGAAAATTATGTGTTTATTGATGGAAAAAACCAAAGTAAAATATATGCAGGTAAAAATGCCATGGTTCAATCATTTTGCTATCATAAACTATAATTGAGACAGGAAAATCCTGGCACTTGTCACTTGTCAAAAAACAAAAGCTAGAGAAAAACATTCATTTTTTAAGAGGCTTTGCATTCTTTAAAATATTAGCAAGAGACTCTATGGGAGCAATGAATGGAGCAGAAAAAACTTCATTTAATTGTGGGGGACAGAGCTGTTTGCTTATCAGGATATTCCGTGGTAACCGTTTAGTTTGCTTGTCTGAGAGAACTTCACTGAGACTGTCTAAATGAGTGAGGGCAAATGCCAGCTACCATAAAAGTACAGTTACTATGTGTTTGCATATTTGACTGAACTTAATTTCCTAATAAAAGACCATATGGCCCTGGCTTAGACACACGAAATGTCATCACTCTTTTTAATTCTGTGTTAGCAGTTTGGCTTTGTACAGTAGAGAAAATACTATGTGTAGTGTCAGAAGATGACAATAAGCAAGATTGATTTTACACAACCAGTAGAAATCAGTAAGTATACGGGAATGTACATCATCCTCTCATTAGAATATACTATTGGCACAGCATCCCAAAAGTCATAATTTGTTCTCTGTCTCTCTTCAGCTCCCTGTCTCTCTCACTTTACCTTGTAGTATTTAAACACTGAACAGGTAGTTAAGATTTTGCTGCTTCTCTCTCCAGGTGCTCCTGTGTGCGTGTGTTGTTCATTCCCTTGTTCACACATACTAGTTGTCCCTTCATGGAACATCCTGCTTTCAGAAAGGGGGAAAGGGAAGGAAATAAAGTGAATACACTCAGGGCCGGCTCCAGGCACCAGCCAAGCAAGCTCGGGGCGGCAGATTGTACGAGGCGGCATTCGGCCCAATCCTAGGGCGGCACAGCCGCTTTTTTGTTTTGTTTTGTTCCGCTCTGGCCGCCCTGTAGCGGGCGGCGGCACAGAGGAGGGGAGCGCCCTGCAGCAAGCCCGGCAGGGCAGCCCGTGTCCTTCCCTCCCAGCTGACCGCGGCGCGGAGCCCTCCCGGCAGGCGGCGCGGCGGTTGGGGCTGTGTGGCAGCGCCCCCCTGAAGCCCTGGCCGCCTCCTTCTCTCTTTCCCCCCTGCCTCCTCCCCCGCTAGCCGGGGCACCAGCGCAGGGAGTCCCACCGCACCCTGGCTCCGGCCGCGCTGCTGGTGCTTTTTTTTTTTTGCTTGGGGCGGCAAAAAGGCCAGAGCTGGCCCTGAATACACTTGCAAGCAATAACAGTCAAGGGGGTCATTGCAGTTGAAAGGTAGCACCACACACTGACCCCATAACAGGCAGTTGTTGTCTAATGAATGGAGCATGATGCTGGCAGGCAGGAAACCTGTGTTCCACTCATGACTGTCACTAAGTTGCTGTGCCACGTCAGGCAAGTAACGTAACTACTCCGTGCCTCAGTTTCTCGATCTGTAAAACCGAGAGGAATTATTTAAGCTCAGTACCAATGTGGACACAAGAACAAATGGATATAAACTGGACATTAGGAAGTTTAGACTTGAAATTAGACGAAGGTTTCTAACCATCAGAGGAGTGAAGTTCTGGAACAGCCTTCCAAGGGGAGTAGTGGGGGCAAAAGATATATCTGGCTTCAAGACTAAGCTTGATAAGTTTATGGAGGAGATGGTATAATGGGATAGCTTAATTTTGGCAATTAATTTGTCTTTGACTACTAGCGTAAATATGCCCAATGGCTTGTGATGGGATGTTAGATGGGGTGGGATCTGAGTTACTACAGAGAATTCTTTCCTGGGTGCTGGCTGGTGAGTCTTATCCACATGCTCAGGGTTTAGCTGATCGCCATATTTGGGGTCGGGAAGGAATTTTCCTCCAGGGCAGATTGGCAGAATCCCTGGGGGGTTTTCGCCTTTCTCTGCAGCGTGGGGCACGGGTCACTTGTTGGAAGATTCTCTGCACCTTGAAGTCTTTAAACCATGATTTGAGGACTTCAATGGCTCAGACACAGGTTTGATACAGGAGTGGGTGGGTGAGATTCTGTGGCCTGCATTGTGCAGGAGGTCAGACTAGATGATCATAATGGTCCCTTCTGACCTTAAAGTCTATGATTCTATGATAATACCTACCTTTGTAAAGCACTTTGAGATCCATGGATGGAAAAAAATCTGTATAAGGGCAAAGAGTTAACTAATAAGCTCTTAATACAGGTCCTGTGCCTGTGTGCCATACGTGGATCCAGTACTTTAATGGTTTCATTAGCTATGGGATTCTTTTTGGGGACAGTAGTGGGTAGAGGGTGAGGGAGAAGGGTGTCTCTAACTGTACTTCATGCATTATTTAGTCACATTCAGACTAGCTTGTCTGAAGTCCTTTGGCTTCCTTGCACAGCTCAGACTCTGATGCTTCCTTAACATCAATGGCATCCTACTTGGGGATGGGGATCTGTCTGGTCTGTATCTGCTGCTGCTACTGGAGTGCATATGAATGAAATTTTGCATATGCTCTCTCATCTCTGCCTCCTCTTTTGATCCTGCTGCTTGTACTATTTGCTGTAGAGTGATGCTACGATCCGAGTTGCCCTACTTTAATTGCCCAGTTACATTGTCTGTACCTCACTGGCCTCTTGTTTCATTCCAAGCTGGTACCAGCACTCATTTGACGTGTGTGTGTGTGTGTGTGCGCGCGCATATACAGACTTGCCAAGCAGGGCTGGCACCAGCACAGCAAGCAGGTGCTTGGGGCGGCCAAAGGAAAAAAGGGGCGGCACATCCGGGTCTTCGGCGGCAATTCAGTGGCGGGTCCCTCAGTCCCTCTTGGAGGGAAGGACCTTCCGCCGAAATGCTGCCAATCGCGGCTGCTTTTTTTTTTTTTTTTTCCCCCGCCGCTCGGGGCGGCAAAAACACTGGAGCCAGCCCAGCTGCCAAGCCTCCCACCTGAAGCAGGAGTATCCCACATTTGGAATATTTTACTTCCCCGTTCCCCCTCTAATGTTCCTCCAGCTCTTCCTGCTCCCTGTTAGTCAGCTGGTGTGTTACTGTTCTGTTCCTGTCCTCCTTTCACCGCTCAAACACACAGCCCAAGTGGAGGAGCTGGGCTCAGATCATGGGAGCATTCCTTGTTCTCTTTAATACGTGAACACTCCCCTGACAGGTGAGTGGCCCCTACTCTGGATGTTGTGTCGGACAGAGTATTGGCACACTGATGAACACACAGAGAGAGGCAGAAGTGAGCACTGGCAATTTGTAGTTGTGCAGCATTCTTGTGCATTCAGATCTTCCTGCCAGCCTGTACAATCTCCCTCCAGCACTGCACAAATCTCCCTTAATCCTTTGGCTAGAGTTCCATGGCAGCTTTGCATGTGCTGTTTCCAAACATCATGTTCTGCATGAAATACATTGCACAAGCCGAGGGAGGCAAAAGATGAGTGGTTGGCCAGATTCCTCTCTTCCCTGACTCTGTGGTCTCAGACAATGGGATCAGTGTGGTGTGTATGTGATGGTGAATTTGTCCATATAGGGTACATTTGCACATGCCTTGGAATCCTATTGTGAAAAAAACCTTCAACCAAACGCTTAGGTATAAAACATTGAGGGGTTTGGAATCCAACCCTGGATCCAGATCCAAATTTTGTGGCTGGCCACTGTTTTTTTTCTGTGACGGGTGGATCCAAATTTTTGCATCTGAACACCCCTATTACATATCCAAATCTAAACCCCGTATGGTGCCTGCTTTTTCTTTGTCCTCAGATTGTGATTCATCCTTCTTATTTTAAATGAAAGATGAGATCAGCATGAGTCCTACTCCAAAGGCCAGCCCTGCTCCAAATGCATGAGTGTCAATAAAGTTCATATGAAGAGAAAATAGATTATAAATCAATTCTCCGTCATGAGTTATGCCTTAAGCATCTCCTGTCCTTTGGCTTATTATAGAAATAAAAAAGTCGATTTTCCTGGTTTCTTGACTATGTGAGAATAGCTTCCTCGTTTCACATGTCATTTGGCTGGATAAAGAAAGGAAATACTCAAACTAGGGCTGTTGATTAATCGCAGTTAACTCACACAATTAACTAAAAAAAATGAATCACGATTAAAAAAATAATCATGATTAATCGCACTGTTAAACAATAGAATACCAATTGAAATTTATTAAATATTTTTGGATGTTTTTCTACATTTTCAAATATATCGACTTCAATTACAACACAGAATACAAAGTGTACAGTGCTCACTTTATATTATTTTTTATTACAAATATTTGCACTGTAAAAATGATAAAAGAAATAGTATTTTTCAATTCACCTCATACAAGTACTGTAGTGCAATCTCTTTATTGTGAAAGTGCAACTTACGAATGTAGGTTTTTTTGTTACGTAACTGCACTCAAAACCAAAACAATGTAAAACTTTAGAGCCTACAAGTCCACTCAGTCCTACTTCTTGTTTAGCCAATTGCTAAGAGAAACAAGTTTGTTTACATTTACGGGAGATAATGTTGCCCACTTCTTAAATAAATGGTATTCTATTATTGTTCAATAGTGCGATTAATCGCAATTAATTTTTTTAATCACTTGACAACCCTAATTCAAACCCATCACTTGGAGCTGCTATTGATTGAAAATCTGTGGCTCACTTTCTACTCTCTATGTGTGCACAACTCCCACTGGCCTCAGCTGGGCATGCACTTACGTAACCGCAGATATAATTTGGCTTGGTATGTGTTTCAAGAGGGCTGAAGTGGGGTCTGGGAAAAAGGTAATCAAATCTCCTTGAAAGATCAAAATCAGTGATTTATGATAATAGCCTATCTCCATCCTG